AAGTGACGTCCTCACTGGAGGGGTCATGAAAAACTGGTGGGGATGGTGGCTTTCAGCTGGGCTTCTAAACTCGGGATGAAGGAGTCCACAGGGAAGACTTCAGACAAGAACCCAGCCCCCAGGAGGAAAGGAAAGGGAGCCCGGCAGAGCCATTGTGTGTGTGTGTGTGTGTGTGTGTGTGTGTGTGTGTGTGTGTGTGTGTGTACACGTGCATGTGCATGCATATTTATTTAAATCTGTGTGTTTGGTTTAAATTCTCTAACAGGATAATTCCATCTTATCCCTCCTTTGTTAGGGCAGTTCTATTTAGTTGTTTCCCTTAAAACTAATAAAAACAGCTCTTTGTCCTGAGACTTGTTCTTCATACCTAAGATGTGGTCCTTCTGGGGTTTCAGCAGAAGTCATACAAGCTTCCCAAGCATTTTGAACCTGACACTGAGCTCAGCTTCCCTGTAGCAGGTAAAACCTCTGCTCAGCTCATACGCCATCTGCATGTCACTTTCCTAGACCTCTTGCAGATTGTCTCTGTTTCAGGGTTCAAGGATGCTTTAACCCAGTGAAAGATCATGAGGAAACTTAATGCGGTCTCCAAGGCTGCCCTCCTGTGGCTGGCTCTGCTCCAAGGTTTCCCTGCTCCCTTTCCATCCACTGACAGCCCCGAACCCCAGCAGGCACAATCTCAAACCATGAAGAATGGTTCTCTGCAGCCTAGCCACTGGGCTCCACAGAACCTTCCTCGCGGGGCTGAGTGCCCCAGTATCTGCCTGCTGTTTGCCTCTTTGCATTTATAGCTGTGGTCACAGAGGGACCAGAGACATTGCTTCTCACCTGAAGGTATCAATGAAATCAACCAATTACTGTTCGTAGACGTTTTGAGCTGTTACAAGCCAATATATGATCTTGGGGGGCTTTGAATTGGCTTGTTGTTGGTATTCTTGTCCATTTTATCATCATTTTTGAAAGAAAGTTCAATTTTGTATGTAAGATACTTGCTCCCTAATTCTACTGCCAAGGGCTTCTTCAGTGTATCTTAAGCCTCTAGAAACACCCCCCAAGGAGCTCACCCCCATGCTGGAGGTGAAACCCGGGCCTCACACACACACCTGGTAAGTGCTCTGAACCCCAGCTGAGGCTGTTACATAGTTTCACCAGGGTTTTCTGTGGTGTGCAGATTGTGGAGATTAGCTGTGATTCTACTTTCTATTAAACTGAAGAATCCCAATGACACAAATAAACCTTTGCACAGGAGGATGGGTGAAGTGGATGGAATGTTTCTCACTTCTTCACATTCAAGGATGTTGGCAAGATTTCTTCAGGATTTAGCTTGTTTTTAAATATCCTTATTTTAGGAATGAAAGGAAATCATATATTGGCTTATAACCACCCAAAACTTCTATGAACAGTAATTAATTGGTTCCACTGATGCCTGTGGGTAAGAAGCAGTGTCTCTGGTCCCTCAGTGACCACAAAACACAAATGCAAGAGTTCAAGCCCACTACCTGAATAAGAATGAAGTTCGGAAGCCGCCTTCCTTGTTGTTTAATTATGACGTCCACATAACTTCTTTGGGAATGCTTCATGAGCTTTTATATTTCAGAGCATCCAATTTAGCTTCTCCTTTGTTTATACCTCACAGATGAATGGCTCATAAAATTTATAGCTAAAATATATGATGCCATTGTGTTTTCAAGAGCCCAAAAGTACAAGTCAGAAATAAAAACCCCAAATCAGCACCTCAACTCCTAATTGCTACACAGAGCACAAAATATAACAGACTCCGCTCCTTTTTACTATCTTTCCTTTGAACTAATTTCCAGATCAGTCCGGGCAGCAACACGCCGCCAGCGGAGCCGGCAATGTGCGTGCCAGAGGCGGCTGGGTAGCTCCTTGAAAGATAATTAAAGCAGCTTACACTGTCCATGTGGCATCTTGATGAATATGCAGACAATATTTGCATATGATCCACTGGTGTTCTGGGAGCATATGATCATGTGTGGACTGCCAAGCTGATTTTAATTTGCGTGTTTGGTCACTGCTGTAGTGGAAGAGGAGGTCATCCTGTGAGCTTAAGAAGGTTTTCCACTCTTAGAACATTATTTCAACAGCTAGTTACTTTATTTTGAGAAATTCCTTTTGTGCTAAATTCCAAATCTTTTTTTTTTTTCCCTCAGTGCTGGGGATGGAGCCTAGGTTCGCCGGAGCTAAGCAAGTGTCCTGTCCCTGAGGTATATTCGCAGCCCAATTCCAAGCCTTGACTTCAGCCCCAAGTTCCCAGATTCAGAAGAGAATGGTAGAGAGAAAGAAGGTGAATGGGCAAACGCCATGTGGCTAGAGTAGTCCTTCCTGTTGTCAGACAAAAGCTGTCATTCAAAAGAGTAAAGAGAGGAGGTTCAGAGAGGGCTCAGCCTGCTGACCTCAAGACTAGACTCTGACAACCTTGGCCCGTGCCACCAAGGAGCACAGGAAGTCACCTGCTTTGAAGACGTATCACAGCATCCCATGTGTCACTGTTTACAGTGATGAAGAAGAAAGGCCCAGCCTGAAGTCACTGTGGAGCATGCCTGTAATGTCCACACTCGGAAGGTTAGGGCAGGAGGACCACAAGTCCAGGGTCACCCTTGGCTACATAGTGAGCTTGAGGCCATGTTAGAAGGAAGCAGAGTCAGAGAGGGAGAAGGGAGGGAGGGAAAGGGGAGGGAGGGAAGGAGGAGAGAGGGAGGGAAGGAGGAGGGAAGGAGTAGGAGGGAAGGAAGGAGGAGGGAGGGAGGAGGGAGGGGAGGAAGGAGGGAGGCACAGTAAAGAAACAGAAAAGCTGCAGAAGTTCAAGTCCAGAATAGAACAAACTCACTGTGCCGCTGGCAGACCAGAACACCCTCCTCTAGAACGAACCTGGAAGCATTCTCATTGAAGATATGGGACATCAGAGGAAGTGACGTCCTCACTGGAGGGGTCATGAAAAACTGGTGGGGATGGTGGCTTTCAGCTGGGCTTCTAAACTCGGGATGAAGGAGTCCAAGGGAAGACTCCAGACAAGAACCCAGCCCCCAGGAGGAAATGAAAGGGAGCCCCAGAAAAGCCATTCTCCCATATGCCAATGGGGGTATATAAGGACAAGACAGACCCCATATCTCAAAAGTTCAGACGTTTAACTTTGACAATGGAAAACCGAGGGGTTCTGAGTAAGCGGGAGTCTATGCTGAGGACACAGTGTCCCTGCGAGCTGGTAGGGATGGAAGGTGGAGGGGAGGGAAGAGGTTACAATTCAGTGATTAGAAAACAACCTAACCCAAAGATGGGCCCCAAGCATGTGGTGTAACACTCGGCACCATGGCCACTCAGGAAACGAGGAGCCAAAGCCACAGCGAGATAGGTGACATTAGAGCAACCGTCATCCAAGAGACAGTCAGTGGCAGCATGGGTGAGAATATGGACAGATGAGGACACCTGTACAGTTCGATGGGAATTAAATAGTGCGGCCACTTTGGAAAACAGTTTGGCAGTTTTTCAAGAATTTAGATGCGAAAGTATTATATCTCCATCAGTCCCACTGGGTCTGTCCACTCTAGTGCAAATTTAAAAAAAAAAAAAAAAAGTTGGCCTTTAGGTGTTTGTCCACAAAAGTTCTAGGCAGCATTGTCCATGAGTAGCCAAAGATGGGAACAACTGCCGTGTCCTCACCTCTGGACAGACGGACAGACTGTGACATAGCCATACAATGGAATACCAATTTGGCAATTAAAATGAAGAAAGCCTCACATATGCTATGGCACTGGTGAACCATAACATCGCTGAGCCTAGGGAACGGAACCCGGAAGCAGAGACCATGTGCGGTGGGATTCCATTGGCATTAAACATTCCGAGAGGGGCTAACGTACAAAGACAGAAGCAGCATAGTGTTGCCTGGGACTTGGGATGGGAACAGAGGCTGCCTGTAGAATGGGCATGAAATGTCTTACTGGGATGATGGAAAGGTTCCAGAACCTATTTATCACGGTGGCTGTATCACTCCGTACATTTACCAAAGACGATGTTGCAATGAATACTTTAAGTAGAGTGAATTTTACGTGTAAAAATAGCCTAAGAAAGCTGTGGTTCTTTTGTTTTTGTTGTTCTGTTGTTTTTAATAAATGAGAGAGGGGAAAGAAGGCATAGGAAGAAGGGACAATTTAAGAGCTATCTGTACTCCATCACATGATAGAGATGAACGGAGGGGCTTGGAGGAGTCCGGATGATTTCCAGATACTTAAAATAAGTAAGAGAAGCCGGGAGGTGGTGGCACACGCCCTTAATCCCAGCACTGGGGAGACAGAGCCAGGCGGATCTCTGTGAGTTTGAGGCCAGCCTGATCTACAGAGCGAGATCCAGGACAGGCACCAAAACCACACAGAGAAACCCTGTCTCGAAAAACAAAAAAATAAGACAGATGGAAATGGGGGGGGGTCATTTAGAAAAGATAATAATCCAATTTCTTGTTCCTCTGAAACAAGAGTGTCAGAGCCGACCTGTGTGGCCAGGATTTCAGAATGCCCAGCCCCGGGGATCTTGGGAGTCTGAACCCCAGGTCTGAGAAGGGTGTCAAGACACTGGCTGGCTTCTGTTAAGAATAGAAGAGTCTTTTTTTAAAAAACTGAGAATGTGTGATTAATTAAAAGTTGTGATTTCTATAAAGAATTGCAGAGGAAGCTCATTGAGGCCAGGAGGCAGGGCGTTAGGGGGTGCCGCTGTCTCCAGCTTGGCCACTTGAGTCTCAGTGGGTGATCAGTGGAAATGAGAACCAGAAGAGCCAGCCATAGGGTGCTGGACAGAGAGGTACATGCAAGCAGGCCAGAGGTGGGCTCCCAAGGACATGAAGAAGGAGGACATGAAAACAGGCAGTAGTTAACTTCCCGGGCCGTGAGGAAGGAGGAGGGAGCCCCCCGAGGACCTGCTAGGGACCTAGAGGGACATGTAGGGAGTATCGGAGCCCAGGAATTGCTCAAGCAAGGCTTAGGATGAAGGCTAGTGTTTCTACATAGTGTTGTTGTTGCTCAGACCCTTTATTGTGTGCCCCCTGAGCCAGGAACCAGCAGGAAGGACCTGTGGTACACATCGATACAGCAAATGCACCCATTGTCAGCTCCCACTCATCTCAGAGTCACACAGATCTGCTGTCACATCTCAATCTGCCATGACAGCTCCACCACCACCAAGTCTGCTCTATTCAAACTCGGGACTGGAAAATCAACAGTCCTGACCAACTCTCGTGGAGCCCATTCAACCGGTGAATTAAAACTGTGTGTGTAGGGGTGGGTGGATGGATGGATGGATGGATGGATGGATGGATGGATGGATGGATGGATGGATGCATGGATGCATGGATGCATGGATGCATGGATGCATGGATGCATGGATGGATGCATGGATGGATACATGGATGCATGGATGGATGGATGCATGGATGGATGGAGCAAGGGAGGGAGGAAGGGACAGATGGATAGAAAGAGTCAGTGATTGCTGTATGTATACATGGATGAATGAAAGACATCCAGTGGGGTGAGAGAATAACTGGGTGCTTCTGGGTGGGGGAACACTGGCAATTCTTACAAGTTTCTTTCTTTCTTTTCACACTTATTTATTTGGATTGTGCATGCACATGTGCATGTATGCATGTGAATGTGTGTGTATGTGTGTGTGTGCACACAATAAGCAATGCGTGTGTGGGCCCATCATGCAGTTTCTTAGAGAAGGCTGAGGTGGACCGAGTTCTAATCCTTCTTATTGCTTTTCCAACATTAAAAATTCAAAAGAAGCCAGGTGTGGCAGGGCCTGCCTTTAATCCTAGCACTTGGGAGGCAGAGGCAGATAGATCTCTTCAAACTCAAAGCCA